TCTGCTCTGGAGGACCTTGCCCCTCCCCCTTCACTTCCTGCCCTCTCTAGGAATCCAGCTCTGCTCCTTTTAACCCTTGGCAAGCCGAGCGCCCCGAGTCCTCCCCTCCCTCTCCCTGCCTTCAGTTTTCCTGCTTCTGCGCCTGCGCTCTAGGGGCTGCCCCCCTTCCCTCCCCCCTTATCTCCTCGGCCCGACGGAGCCGCAGGCATGCCTAGCGGCAGAGGTGCCTTGAACTCAGCAATGGCGCCTCAGGGCACCTCCCATGGGAGCTACCCTCCAGCGGGGGGGATGATGGAGGGGGGGCTTCCCAGTCAGGAGACCCCTCCCCCCCGAAAATCACCTTTCCCCCACCAGGAAAATAGGGAGATGAAGAAGTGTCCCAGGCAAGGAATGAATCGCACTCGCGATCTTGGGGGGAGGCCAAAAGGAGATTTACTGTAATAAGCGTTCAGGAGACCCACGTACAAAGGACCCATGGAAAATGGTTAACCAATAAAGCAGCTTTGGGCCAATGATCTATACCTTCAGATCAACTGAAAAAAGAGGTACTTTATGCCAGCGGCAAACTAGACCCAAAGCGGATATTAGACGTCGCAAATGGAAAGAAATCGGACTTTTCAGTCCTGCGAGGGATGCAGGCAGAGGCGAAGGGAGTTTTCATCCCGCCTTTCCAAAGAGAGAGGAGCTTGCAAAGCGAGAGGCCTGAAGAGAAATCCGCCCCTCAAGCCCCGGGAAAGCGCCGCCTGGTCTGCCCGGAATCCTGGGCGCCAAAACGGAGGCGAGGCAGTTGGGAAAAGGCGGGAAACGTCGTTGAGGGGAAGAGGCGGCGGGGGGAGGGGCGCCTCCTCTCTCGTCCCTCAGAGACACAGAGAGACACAAGGGGGAGCCTCTTGGGAGGGGAGCGGAAGGGAAAGGAAAGGAGGGCTCTCCCAGAAACGGGGGGGGGGGGGCAGGCGGGTCTCTCTCTCTCCCGCGCAACCCCAGCGCATTCCTCTCATGGTGGAAGGTGTGGGAGGAAAGAGATGACCCTGCCTGCCTCCCAAGCTGAGGTTTGGACAGACACCCTTCGGAGAATGGTTGATCTTGACAACTTGAGTTGTGGAGAATAATCCCTCAGAGGCTCCTTTCCTTGCTAGCTTTACAACTAAGTGAAGAACGTGTTAGAAGTCGATTGTGAGCCTGGAAAGAGGGAGAGATTTACAGTTGAGAGGAGACTTGAGATAATGTTATGGAAATTATGGGGGGGGGCACATCTTTAAAGTTAAATGTTACAAATATTACGCCTGAATGTGTCCTTTCAACTTGACAGCCCTCGTCTGCCCCCCAAATGGGCCAAGACCTCTGTTCCTCTCCTTTAGGCGGTAGTTCAACAGAAGTCACTCCCTCTCCAGATCCCTGCAGGCCTCAGGGGGCCACTGGAGCCCAGTGGGGAGACTCTGGGGAACTGGCTGAACTGGGGTCCTCCAAGTGAGGGCCGTCCAGAAAGGGCCCCTGGGACCCCGAGGGGCCAGAAGGAGAGTCTCCAGCCTGGCCTTTCCCCTATTTCTGCAGGTGGAGCCCTTCTCCTAGCGCTGACTCTTGGGGTGACTGTGATAGGAATTTTGAGGTCTTAGATATATAGTAATGTTCATAACAGCACGTACGTAGATCAGCACAGGAAGACTGACCTGAAGCCATTTTGATTCCTAAACTGAGCAAATGTCTTGTCTGCAAGGTTGTAGCAGGAACCCCCCACCCCAATCATTCAGTTTGTACAAACTTCACACACTCACACTCACACACTACATATGCCACACTTCTGTTATAAATTCATTCCAAAATCAACCATACATCGGATTTGCACTGTTCCATTATTATTTTACTCCATATGACAAGGACTATCAAAGGGGGGTGGCTTGGTTCTGGTCAGCCATAATCCCTTCACCATCCCAGCACATCCACAGGAGCCCTGCCCAGTTGCTATGCCAACCCTGATGGTCCTAGACAGAAGACCATCAAGATCACAAAGAACTTGCATATGGGAGTGGATTCAGCATGGACTGAAACAAAGGACAATGATCAGATCTTCCCTCTGGGGGCAGGAAACTGCCAACTCCCCTTTGTCTCCTGGAGGTGACTCATGGGCCGGGGGGAAAGGAAGAACCAGCCAGGTGACAGGACACTCAGGTTACCACCACAACTCCTCCCTCAACCCCTCCTTTCTGTGATGTATGCATGATGTCAACCCCTCCTTTCTGTGATGTATGCATGATGTCAACCCCTCCTTTCTGTAATGTATGCATGATGTCAACCCCTCCTTTCTGTAATGTATGCATGATGTTTCTGGGGGTGGGCTTGACCTAGAGGATGGGAATTTCAAAAGTTTTTATAAGGTCTTGCACACCATCTTTCTGGGTCTTTCCTCTCTCGCAAGTGAGGGGAACACCCTGTTGCAACAGTTCAATAAAGGCCAAGCCTACAGGCTGCTGTTTTGCTCCAAGTTATCCTGGTTGGTGTCTTTATTTTGTCCAAGGGAGCCCTCGGATTTTTCCGGTAACAAGGTCAAAGTGGAAAAGCCTCCCCATTGTCTTTTCCTTCACAAATCCTGTCTTAAGGGTGTTTGAATAGGGTGTGAGCCTGTGACCTGGCCCAGGAACTAAGTATTTATCATTACAAAAGACTGGCCAGGCTCCCCAGGCAATCCAGTCAAGTAACCTGCCAGAGAGGAGATAAACAACAGGAGAAAAACAATATTCAAATGTTCTGTTTAGACCGCCTTTTTTGTGATGTAGGTGTGATGTATCTGAGGGGTGGTCTTAGGTTACACCCCTTCTGTGATATATGTATGATGTTTCTGGGGGTGGTCTTGATCTTGTTGTTGTTTAGTCGTTTAGTCGTGTCCGCCTCTTTGTGACCCTCTGGACCAGAGCACGCCAGGCCCTCCTGTCTTCCACTGCCTCCCGCAGTTTGGTCCAACTCATGCTGGTAGCTTCGAGAACACTGTCCCACCATCTCGTCCTCTGTCGTCCCCTTCTCCTTGTGCCCTCCATCTTTCCCAACATCAGGGTCTTTTCCAGGGAGTCTTCTCTTCTCATGAGGTGGCCAAAGTCTTGGGAGCCTCAGCTTCAGGATCTGTCCTTCCAGTGAGCACTCAGGGCTGATTTCCTTCAGAATGGAGAGGTTGGATCTTCTTGCAGTCCATGGGACTCTCAAGAGTCTCCTCCAGCACCAGAATTCAAAAGCATCCATTCTTTGGCGATCAGCCTTCTTGATGGTCCAGCTCTCACTTCCATACATCACTACTGGGAAAATCATGGCTTTAACTACACGGACCTTTGTTGGCAAGGTGATGTCTCTGCTTTTTAAGGTCTTGATCTACAGGGTGGGAATTTCAAAAGTCTTTATAAGGCCTTGCACAACATTTTTCTATGTCCTTTCTCTCTCCTGCAAGTGAGGGGAGCACCCTGTTGCAACAGTTCAATAAAGGCCAAGCCTACAGGCTGCTGATTTGCTCCAAGTAATCCTGGTTGGTGTCTTTGTTTTTTGTCCAAGGGAGCCCTCGGATTTTTCCGTTAACAAAGTGAAGCTGCGGAGGAGGCCCAGGAGGCGGTCCAAGGAGCTCCCCCTTCCACAACAACCCTGCCAGGCTGGCCTCTTGCATGTCGCCCCCTTTCCAGCAGGTGAAGCTGCAGGGGCCACTCACTTCCTGGCTCTCCAAAAATGGAGGAGGCGTTTGACCCTTGATGAGCCTCAGAGGAGCCTTGAGGGGGGCAGAGAGGGGCTCTTGCCCCTTCCCAGACTTTTCCTCCAACCATTTATTACTACTGTTTATCAAACTTGGCCACCCTCACCTCTCCTGCAGCCCTGGAAGGAAAAAACAGACCCACAGCATGCAGTTCTTTTCAAGACGTGTTTATTCTCCAAGTTGGCTCTGCCCCACGGGGCTTACAGTCTACAGCAGAATCTACACAGAATGGGGGGGGGAGGGCGAGTTCTGGGCTCTGGGGGGAGGGAAGGGGGGGCAGGTCCTTGTTCGTATCGAGAGGGCCGAGCTGCTCTGCCTGGCCGTCTCTGCAGGGACGTTGCGGGGAAATGGGCTCCTTTTGCACCCGGGTCTCTAGAGGGGATAAACTTGGGTCTGGACTGTACCACTTCAGGTCCCCCGGAGGGGGAGGTAAAGGGACACCCAATGACCCACATTCTGTAAGTGGAGGATCCCTGATTGATTTATTTGGGGGGGCGGGAGGATATGCCAATCTTGCTCAAGTCAGTCTCCCCTCCTCCAAAAAGGTTCTCTCCCACAATCCCAAAGACAACACAGGCCCCCGTCAAGAGTCTCCCAGAGCATGTGCAGAGTCTGCGGCCCAGGACCTTAGGGTTGCTTTTGATGCAATTCCTGCCTTGCGGGGGGTTGGACTAGGTGACCCTCAGGGACCCCTCCCAATTCTACACTTCTATCATTTCACAGCACGCAAGTGAGGAGGGGCAGGGACTGTTAGAAAGGGGGGCTTTTGCTATCCACAGATCTGGCCCCCTCCTTAAAATCACAGCTGTGAATCTGCAGGATGTGAAGCCAAGCAGACCCCTGACCCCAAAAAAGAAGGGGAAGGGGGCTTCCAAAAGGGACCGGAGGGGCAAGAATGGGCAGCAAAAGAGGAGGGACCCAGGAGTCCGGGGGCCTACGATCCACTTCACCCTTGCAACGGGATCTGGAGACAGGCAACAAACCAAGCCGGGAGTTGGGTTGCCCAGAGTCCGTTACTGCAGAAAGAAGAGAAATCCGTGAGATACTGACCCAATTTGGAGACGAAACATTAGCTGGCTGGGGGTTGCAATTGCAGGAATTGCTCCACAACAACCCTGCGAAGTAGGCAGACTGGATCCTGCCCCCCAGCCCCCCTGCGAGCTTCATCATGGCCAGGGACTGGGGATTTGAACCCAGATCTCTCTGCCAGGGCCTAGTCTGGCCCTCTCACCACTGCACCGCACTGCCTCTCAGTGAGTGGCACAGAGATATGTTTTTAAAAGAATAGGAAAATGAGGAATCGAGAGAACTTGGCAGTCTTGGGAGCATCTTGGACACTGACCTCGGATTTGGGCTTCTCCAATTTGGGTTTTTCTTCAGAAGCTGGAAAAAGGAGGAAAATGAAGCAGGGAAAGGTTAATGACCAGAAAACCCAGGGAAATGGACAGGAATACTTGAAAGCATGCAGAAAGCTAAAACGGAAATCAACATTTCTGAGCCGCTGGGCAGGGATGTTTTTAGCAGGCGACCAAAGAGAGTCCGGCCAAGGCGCCTGGTTGGTATGAAGAGGCGGGGAGTTCCAAAGGATCTTGGAGCCAGAAGGGACCCTGAGGGTCATCTAGGCAGGAATCTTTTCCCCAAGGTGGTGCTTGAACCCACAACCCTGAAATCAAGAGGCTTTCCCAGCTGAGCTTCTTGTACTGGCAACTGTGGGAAAGGGGAGTCAATTGGTCAGCGCCAGTTCCGCCAATCAAAGGCGTCAGGTGGTGGTGGAGAGGTTTCTCACCTGCTTTTACTGTCAATATTTGCATGGTCTTAATAGATTCTGAATTCTCTCCGCCAGGGAAAATATTTCTATTTTTCATTATAATAATTAGACTTGAGGGAGGCTGGGTTATTGGTTTGTTTTGGTTCTCATTTTTATTATGTACGTTGTGTTTTCATTGTGCATTTTTACGCCACAAACTGCCCAGAGATCCAGAAAAGGAGGGTGCTGTGCATGTTTATAGAATCCAAGAATTGTAGAATCAGAAGGGACCCAGAGGGTCATCTAGCCCAACCCCTGCAAGGCAGGAATCTCAACTAAAGTATCCCCCCAAAATATTGACCAAATGGTAAAATAGGACCATATTGATAACAAAAATAACAGTACAGAAGGGGTGGGTGGGAACAACCTTACCCCATCGGAAGAAGGACCGCAAGACCCCCAGGAGCACAATGGCGACCAGGAACAAGCCGATGGCATCCTCCAGGGAGGGGCCCAGGGACCCTGGGGGGGGAGAAGGGGGAAGGAGGGCGTCAGCGAGGGAGAAGAGGGGCGACGTCAGACCCCCACCCTGCCTTGGCCACCCATTGCAGGTCCCAAAGCTGCACCTTCGCCCCACCCCCCATATCCTCCACCCCATGCCCGACTTGATCAGTGTCAATTTACAGAATCCTAGTTGGGAGGGTACCCCAGCGGTCATCTAGCCCAACCCCCTTCAAGGGAGGAATCCAGCTAAATCACGCAGGACGGACCACACCCCCCAACCTCCGCCAGTCAGGAATCACATCCGCAGCCGGTCTTCTGGGCCTTGCTACCCAGCCCCCAGGGGACCTCAGCACAGACCCCCAAGTGCAGACCCCCACCTGCCACATGGAGCACAACCGCCTTCTTGACCCCCGCCTCGCCCAGCCCGGCGTGGCCCACGTGGCAGACGTAGGAGACCCCGTGGTCCTCGGTCGGGACGGGCAGCAGGTGGGCGAAGCTGGTGAAGCTGAAGGTGCCGTCAGGAGCCTGGCGGTGCCCCGAGTCCCCGATGTCCAGGAAGGCGTCCTGGGGGGCGCCGGACCCCCTCCGCTTCCAGCTGACCGAGGCACCCAGAGGGAAGAAGCCGGAGACCTCGCAGGCCAGCTGGGGCCGGGCGCCGGGGGAGACCGAGAGCGTCGTGGGGCGCAGCGTCACCTGGGGGGGCTCTGCAGGGCGAGAGGGGGAGGGAGTGAGCAGAGCGCCCCCTGCTGACAACCAGGAGTGCTGCAGGCTCCCAGCTGCTGGGAGGGGAGAGGGGGGCTCTTGGATTCGAATCCTGAGGAAGACAGGGTCCCCGTTGGCTTGATCAAGTGGCCAGGCGCTTCTTAAGGAGCCTCCCAGTCCAGGGGCAGTCTCTCTGGATCGCTTGGCTCTTAGAAGCCTAGAATTGCAGAAGTGGAAGGGACCTGCAAGGGTCATCTAGACCAACCCCTGCCAGTCAGGGATCTCAGGGCAATTTGGCCACTGCAAGGTTTAAGCACTCTCCCTATGTTCTTTTGGCGCCTCCAGGCCCAGGAGCAGTCTATCTGGATCCCTAGGTCCTGGCCGGCATTTGGACTGTGAGAATACAAGATGCTGGCTCCATGGGGGTCCCTTTGGGCAGTGGACCCCCCTTTCCCCTTCCTTCCCTCCGCCCTCCCTGCGAGGGAGACCCCCCGGTTGCTCACTCACCCACCACCTTGAACTCGAGCGCCTGCTGGGCGTGCAGGTGGGGCAGGTAGACGGTGCAGATGTAGGTGCCCTCGTGGCGGACGGCCACGCTCCGCAGGCGCAGGGAGGCGCCACCGCCCTCAGCATCCAGCAGCAGCTCGGCCCCCTCCTCGGCCACCGACACCCCCCGCGAGGCTCCGTCGAAGGCCAGCACCACCTTCCCGGCCCCCCGGAACTGATGGCGCCACTCCACCGAGAAGGCCGAGGCCGGCGCCGAGAAGCCGCAGTGCAGGACCGCCGGGCGCCCGAGGCGGGACTCCAGGCGCGGCGTCCGTGTGAAGACCGACAGCACCGCTGCGCAAGGAGGGAGGAGGGCGAGGTGAGCGGGAGAGATCCCCAGCGGTCATCTAGACCAACCCCCCGTGCAAGGGAGGAATCCCAGAAGGGAAAACAACAAACCCAGGGCCGTGTTTAGCAGATGCGGCGCCAGGCTGCAAATGTCCGCCCAACACCCCCAGATTACCACCGATAGTGTTGGGGTGGCCGTAGCTGCGCACTGCCAGCCCTTGTGGGGGGCGCACCTCTCCCCCATGCCAATGCAGGAGAGCGATCCCCCGAGAGGCCAGCGCCCTGGCGCGACGCATCACTAAGCCCTATGGGAAAGACGGCTCTGAACAAACCCACCATCTATTTGATTTATTCATTTAATTTCGTGGTTCTCAAATTTGGGGGGGACCCCCATAAACTCTCTCCCTTTCAGCCAGTGCCCTAAAAGAGGCATGGTTTGGAACAACTGTTTGCATGACCCAGTAAGATGAAAGCAAGATTTGAAACAGCAACAATTAGTTGCCAAATGACTCAAAATCCACTTCAGACTACTCCAAGTAGTTCAACCCAGCAGATGCATTTGATCCAGGGATTTCCGCTTTCCAATTGGCCCACGGTGCCCCCCACCCCCCATGAGGGTGTAACCAATGACTTTGGGCACTCCTAATTTAAATAACCGCATTTCTGCCCCGCCTTCTCCTCCCAGGGGCTCAAGGCGGCCTCCATCCCCTTCGCCTGCCATTCCTCCACGCTGACTCTGATGGCAGGCCTGTCTGATAAGCTGGTCCCTCTCTCCCAGGCTGCTGGCGCAGGGCTCTAACCGCTAGGCCGCGCTGCTCCCCTTCCGCTCGCCAGGTGGTACCTGCGGTGGTGGTGACGCTGCTGACCCCATCCTGCTGCTTCCAAGGCGGGGCCTCCTCGGTGTGCAGGACGCTGCTGACCCCGAACTCGGCGTCGGGGGCCTGGATGCTGGCGATGAGCCACTTGCCCCTCTCCAGGGCGCGGGGGCAGCCCCCTCCGCCCGCCAGCCCCTCCGCCCAGGCGACGTGGGACTCTTGCGGCGCGTAAGCGTTGATCTCGCAGGAGGATTCAGCCTCGCTGGCATCCGGACTCAGCCACGGCGGGGGGGTGGCCGAGGCCTGACCGCCCCACAGGGCCCCAGAGGGGTCTGCCGGGGGGACAAAGCGGGGGGAGGTGAACCAGTGTCTGGGGGGGGAATGATGAGCCTTGTCTCTCCACTGCCGGACCCCCCCAACCTACATCGCAGGGGGTTGGAGTGGATGACCTTTGGGGTTCCCAACTCCACCGTTCTGGGTGAAACCAAAACAACCAAGCAGCTTTGTCCCTCTGAAAAGTGGAAATGTTGAGGTTGGAAACCAATTTGAAGTAGATCCAGAATAAGCATAACTAGTTTAAATTAATCCACAACAGTAGGACTCCTGAGTTATTGAGATGATTTCTTTTGTCCATTCACTGTATTTATTTTTCCCAATTGGAACTATAAAATGGTGATTTTCTTGAGTCAAAATGAGAGTAACCCTGAACAATTTTTAGAAAAAAGCACTGTACCTATATACCAGAGAAGCATGTATGGAACTGTAGTTGTTGGCATATTTAGTGATATATTGTAATATACCTCCCCCCCCCCTTTTATTTCTTTGTTCTCTATTCACTTTTTATTTCCCTTTTTATTATTCAAATATTCTCAATTTAAATTGTGTGTGGTTGAACCCGGAGCCAGGCCTGTTGGCCCTCATCATAACTTTGCTTTATTCCAGTCCGTGGGTCTCAGCCAAAGTCCGCTGGGGGCTCCCCTGGGCCTCGTGGGGCTCTGGCACCCAGCACAGTTATTGCAAATGAGTTTAAGGCCTAAGAGTTTAAAATGGATAACATGGATAATAGATAAAAATAATAATAAATTTTATTCATACCCCGCCCTCCCCAGCCAAGGCCAGGCTCAGGGTGGCTAACAAGCAATAATAAAAATAAGTTGAATGAATACAACTTAAAAACAAAATTAAAATATAACATTAAAATATTAAAATGTAGCCTCCTCGCAGGAGGAGAAGGAAAGGAAAAAAGAAAGAAAGGGACGGAGGGAATCAAATTGGCTCCAAGCCAAAGGCCAGGCGGAACAACTCTGTCTTACAGGCCCTGAGGAAAGAAATCAGATCCTGCAGGGCCCTGGTCTCATGAGGCAGAGCGTTCCACCAGGCCGGGGCCAGTGCTGAAAAGGCCCTGCCTCTGGTTGAAGCCAATCTAACTTCCTTAGGGCCTGGGACCACTAGGGTGTTGTTATTTATGGACCTTGAGGCTCTCCGTGGGGCAGGCCAGGAGAGGCGGTCCTGTAGGGACGAGGGTCGTGGGCCGTGGAGGGCTTGAAAGGTCAAAAGCAGCACCTTGAACCTGACCCTGTACTCCACTGGGAGCCAGTGCAGCTGGAAAAGCACTGGGTGAATCTGCTCCCCTGGCAGAGACCCCGTGAGGAGCCTCGCTGCAGCATTCTGCACCCGCTGGAGTTTCTGGGTCAGCTTCGAGGGCAGCCCCGCGTAGAGCACATTACAGTAGTCAAGCCTGGAGGTGACCGTCGCATGGATCACTGTGGCCAGATATAGATACTGCGGTACCTCGGGTTACATACTCTTCAAGTTACAGACTCCGCTAACCCAGAAATAGTGCTTCAGGTTAAGAACTTTGCTTCAGGATGAGAACAGAAATCGTGCTCCGGCAGCGCGGCAGCAGCAGGAGGCCCCATTAGCTAAAGTGGTGCTTCAGGTTAAGAACAGTTTCAGGTTAAGAACGGACCTCTGGAACGAATTAAGTACTTAACCCGAGGTATCACTGTATTATTATTTAGTGTTGTTCAATCACACTGATGTTTTTAAAAGAAAAAATGTTTAAAAATAAAAAAGTAAACAGCTGTAGGTTGGACCCCGAGGGACATCTAGTCTCACCCCCTGCAATGCAGGAATCTTAGCTCAAGAATCCCTGACATTTGGCCTTCCAGCCTCTGTTTGGAAAACCTCCAAGGAAAGCAACTCTGTCCCTGGAGGTTTAAAAACGGAGATTGGGGAAGGAGTGTTTGCCGACACTGAAGATCCAGAGAATCATTTTAAGTTTCCCAGCCTCAGTTGTGGCGCCTGTGAAATGGGTCTCCCAGTGAGGCTGAATTCAGAGGTGCTTCAAGTCCCTCCCGGTGAATGAGAAGCAGGGATGGGACCCAGGGGACAGGTGGGGGTGTCCTATGGGGGGTCTCCATACCCAGGACCTGGAAGGCCAGGCCGGCCTCCACCTCCGGGGGCAACTCGGACTCCAGGGCAGCTTCTTCCAGGCGTCTCCCGGGTGGGGGCAGGAACAAGATGGCGGGGCGCTGCTTGGGGGCGCTGGACATGCCTGAGCCTCCGCCCCCAGCCTCCTCCAGGAACCAGCAGCCCAGCTTGGCCAGCGGAGGCGAGGATCTGCCGAAGGACGCTCCTGCCAGGAGAGGAGGAGGAAGAAGAAGAAGGGGTGGACTGGATGCCCCTGGGGGCCCCCAAAGCAGCCGCAGCATCTGGGTCCGGAGCAAGGGGACCCCTCCCGCTAGCCCAGTCTGGGAGAGCCCTGCTGGATCCGGAGCAGGGCAAGGTAGACTGGCTCTGTCCAGGGAGGCTCCATTGGGAAGAAGATGCCCCCGAGGGGGGCCGGAGGGCAGGAGCAGCGGGGCAGCAAGGGGCCGGATTCGGGACTCGGCCAGGAAACGGAAAGCGAAAGCGGAGGGACTATCCCGGGCCAAATCCCCCCCCGCCCCGCCCCGCTTTGCGACAGGCAGAAATCCCACCGGAGAAGTTTCCCCCGCCAGCCCCTTCCTGCGCCCGCTGAGTCTCTGCCTTGCAGGGGGAGGAAATCCCTCCTCCTCCGCCCCCCTGGGAGGGAACCCAGGCGTCCGGCCCCGAGCTCTCCTCCTCCCGCGCCCTGCGAGGGGGGGAACCCAGGCGTCCGGCCTCGACCTACCCAGCAGCAGCAGCAGCAGCAGCAGCGGGAGCCCCTTGGCGCGGAGCAGGTCGGGTGGGGCAGCCATGAGGCTCCGCAGGGAGAGAGCAAGGAGAGGCGGCGAGCGGCGATGGCGGAGACTCCGTCCGCGCTTCCCCTTTCGATTTCGGAGCCCCGGAAGGAGGGCGGGGCAGAAGGGAGGGGGAAGGGGACCCCTCTCCCAGCCCCCCGAAAGGCACCCGAAGGGGTCTCCGCGGGAGATGCTGATTCTGGCACGCCGAAGAAGGGCCTCGAAAGTGGAAACAGCCGAAAACCAGCTGCCTCCCCCAGCCCCCCAGAATTGGGGAAGGAGGCGGGAGGCAGAGCGGCGAGCTGGGGGCGCCCCATCGGAGATGGGTCCCTCTGGAAGTTCACTTTGTCTGGTGGGACCCAGTTCTCTTGCATGGAATAGATTCCCAGAAGGGACCCCGAGGGTCATCCAGCCCAACCCCCGGCAATGCAGGAATCTTTGGCCTCACATGGGGCTCGAAGCCACGACCCGGAGATCGAGTGAGCAGATGAATAATAATACAGTAAGAATAACAACAACATCCTTTTTGTTTCTTTTTAAAAGATCAGTGTAATTGAACAACACTTAATAATAATAATAATAATAATAATAATAATACAACATTGTTTATACCCCGCCCGCCCATCTGGGGGCAGGGCACGAGGCTGCTGTCTTGATGGCCTCTGAGCCCAGAATCACAGAGAACTCTGCACATGCTCTGGACCATCCGGATTCTGGGAGGGAGGGAGAGCGGCCTGCCGGCTGCGCTCAGCTTGCAAAGGGTTAAATCGAACAGAGCCGGAGACCAGCTTATAAAACACACTTCGGGTTACAGTCACAGAAGAAATACGAACAATTAAAACAATGTACAAGAATAAACTTCTGCAGGGAGTTGACCCAACCACTAATTAACGCTGTTGATTAAACTTAGGCCCCTCAGGGCTCTGGCACCCAGCACAGTTATTTCAAATGATCTCAAACCCTAAAATGGATTGACAGGTAACTGACAGACGTAGATGATCTCTAGAGATATAGTGTCTCCCTGGGGATCTGGGATTCCTCTCGAGGAGGCTGCTTGGACCAGGCGGAGCTGTTGCCCTTGCAGGAGACTCCGGGGGAAGCCCCGTCTCCCGGGCGCTGAGTCGGGCTCCTTGGGGTAGAGGGAGGGCTGGGCTTGCAAGGGTTAAGAGGAGCAGAGCGGGAGTCCTAGAGAGGACGGGAAGTGGAGGGGGGTGAAGGTCCTCCAGGGCGAAATCCCCCCTCCCCCTCCCTCCCTGCCTTCTTCTTCTCTCTCCTTTGCAAAAGCCCCTCCTGGACTCGGGTGAGTCTCCTCTCTCCTCCCCCTGAGGGTGCAATGGGGAGAAGGGGGTCCCAGGGGGGCAGGGAGGATGAATGGGGGTCCCTGCTCAGATCATGCCTGGGGGAGACCCCAAGTCAGGGAGCAGAGGGTCCTCCCTTGTCCTCTCTGCCAAGCCAGGGAGGGCCACTTCGCAGGAAATATGCAGCTCTGCTCTTCCTTGGGATCCAGATGCTGCCTTCCTTTCGGGGAGGGGCTTTGAGTCAAGAAAATAAACCCCCTTCAGATGGAGGGATAAGTCACCTTTGTGAACAGAGGATGTAGCCAGACAGGAACATTCCCACGTGGGGAGCACAGGAGAAGAAAAGCCCGTCTGCATCTGCAGCAGCACAACAGGACCACTTCCTGTGTCCCAGATGCAACAACACACGTCTCCCCCATCATTTAAATACACAACAAAATTGTTCCATTAAGCTACTGAAATAAGCATGAAGGAAAAGAATAATGTTAAAACAATGCAGCTATTAAGAGGCAGAAAAGAACAGAGCGATGTGTAGAAAAATATCATCTTTCTTCTCCCTTTTTCCCTTAGGGTCCAGTGTGCTTTGAAGACGTAGCTGTTCCTTTCACAGAGGAGGACTGGGCTTTGCTGGATCCTGACCAGAGAGCTCTGCAGAAGCAAGTCAAGGAGGAGAATCCTGGGATCGTGGCCTCTCTGGTAAGGCTCCGTGCTGGATCATAAGATCAGTTTTGAAATTCCATACAGATCTCTGAAGGACAAACCTCCTCTATTTTGAGGGGCCCCATAGCGCCACCTGCAGCATCTGAGATGTTAACACACCCACAACTCTCCATAGGAGATGTATCTCCTGTTCTGTCTGGGAATATTCTTCCACCAGTCCTGCCTTTTCCAACCATGAGGAGGCTGCTCTGAGCTGCCCAGGCCTTCTTCAATGTAATCTTCAGAGATATTAAGGCCATGGAAGTACATCCTGTCTAATTTTCTGTTTCCCTTTCTGCATTTCTCTGTTTTTGGTTGAGCAAAGAAATGACTGAGCTTGGAGATGGAGCGGATTCCATGACTGAGCCAAATTAAATCCATCCCTGGAAAGAGCCAGGCTTTTCGAATCTCCGGGTCCCATAAATACGTTAGCTAATACCAGCCAAAAAAGGCAGTAACTCCCTTCCCTTCTTCCTCTTTCACAAGCAGTCATTTGCATTCTTCAGTCATTTCAGCCTCAATTTCTTTCTCAGGCTAGGATTATTATTATTAAAGATATCAGGAAACTTGATGAGGAATTAAGGGGAAAGACAGTGTTGACCCAGAGTAGTTACAAAATGTATGTTCTCTCCCCGAGTGCCACAGACCCTCCTCCAAAGAGAGCTTCTCTGAAGAAAGCACAAGCAAAAATTACTCCATTTTACATGAATAAGGAAAATGAGGAGGTGGCTAAGAAACAGCAGGAGCCAGATCCTATTACTGACCTTATAGGATCTCTCAGCAGCTCTAAGGATGAGCAGAAAGAGGTTTTGGGCCCAGGCAGCTCAACTGCTAAGTCATGTCTGGCACTGAGACCAGGAGCTCAAGCGACTCAAGCCCAAATTCATGCTAAACAAGTAGAGGAACTAATGTTAAAAATTACAAAATAGTGCAATATTTAAAAAAAGTTGACTTTAAAAAACTTTTGAACCTGCTTGAGAGCAGCTCATGCTCTGGGTCCAGACACTAAGAAGCTTGTACTATGCTAGAATCTGCACACCAGATCCCTATATCAATATGAAACGATATGCAAGGTTATCAAATGGTCTGATGTCCTGTCAAAAGCCAAAACCAAACCAACTAGGGAGAGGGTTTTCATAAAAAGGAATCGGAAATGGGTGCTGTCTCAAAATAAGCTACTTCTCTCAAGCTAACCTAAGCCTTTGGGAATCTTGTCACAAGAGGAGCGTAAAGTTTGTGAAGATGGTGTATAAGCACAGAGAATATCTAAGGAAGAGTGGTGTATCAGTCTCAAGATTATTCCAAAATGTGGCATCACCAGCTCCTCTGCTTCCACATACAGCAACACCTCCAAAAAGTCCTCAGTTCAAGGCAGACTATCCTGCTTTAGTTGACAAAGATTCTGCAGGTGACAATCCTGACTAGTCAGCTGACCTAGACCCCAAGGAACCCCTAACTCAAAGACCCCGGGGTCTTTGCCGTTGAGGAATCTGGGGAAGGACCTACTTGACAGAACTGAAAAGAATTGTTTACATGCCTTCTGTGCTCTGCCACAAGACGCCCAGAATGAAATATTCTCCAGATTTGACCTCTGACGTTCCTGCCTAATGAGTTTGAAGAAGGAACACAAGGGCTCATGCAAGTAGAACTTGACTCTTTGTGCTCCAGATCCAGCCCACCAGATATTCCAGCGTGAGTTGAATTTATGGGCTGAAAAGCCACCTCCCCCCACCAGGTTAATGAACCCTCTTGCCTACCAATTGGAGCTTCCCCAAAGATTTGGTCCCCATGCAAGAGGCAAATATGGCCACAACACCTGCCTGGCTTGCAATGAGAGAGCTCAAAGATTGTGAACTGGGCTCTGCATACAAAGAACCAAGCATGCAGGCACCTACAGTACATGTACAGTGGTACCTCGGGTTCCATACGCTTCAGGTTACAGACTCCGTGAACCCAGAAATAGTGCTTCAGGTTAAGAACTTTGCTTCAGGGTGAGAACAGAAATTGTGCTCCAGCGGCACAGTGGCAGCAGGAGGCCCCATTAGCTAAAGTGGTGCTTCAGGTTAAGAACAGTTTCAGGTTAAGTACGGATCTCTGGAACGAATTAAGTACTTAACCTGAGGTACCACTGTAATAGCTACTGTGCTATTTTCTGCCCATGCTCTGGGGTTGCAGTTTTCAGGCTTGGGGACAGGGTGGTGACTGGTTTTTGCACCAAGTTCTGTCCATAAGCCCCACTGAGTACAATGGGATCTACTCTCAGGTCATTACTGTGCAGAACATGTCAGCCTTACGAAGTGGGGTGAGGAGCAAACAGAGGAAATTGAAACCACTGGAGAGGTTTAGAAATGGGGCTTCTGTTGGGAAGGGGCTGCCCCATTTGTGCTTCTCCAGGGGCAGGAGAATATCTAGGGCAGGAGAATCCCTGCAGGGCCTCTGAGGCTCCTTTGCTTCTTCCTCTCTCCCAGGACCCTGCAGCTTCTTTTGGCTCCTTGACTCCTCAGGAAGGATGAAAGAGACGGATCCTGCAAACCTAGCGAGGATGGAAGGAGGAAGATGGATGGATGACCTGGTCCGGCTGTCTCCTGCATCCCTCCCCACAACCTCTGAGCACTCCCTCCCAGGGACCTCCGAGAGATCTGGTGAGTCCCAGGGGAGGGGAGATGGGGACCTGGATGGATGGAGCCAGAGAGGAATTGGGGCTTGCTCAGGTTGGGGGTGGGAGGAAGCAGGCAGGCAGATGGAGATGGAGAAGGGGAGCACCTTTTCGGGCTCCCCCACCTGCCTGCCTGCCTGCCTGCTCCTTTTGTCATCTGCAGGCAATTTGAGCTAGGAATAGATCACAGCTCCCCGGCCACTGCGATGTATTGGCAGCTCAAAAGGTCTAAAACCAGTTCTGTGATCTGAATGCCCTACCAATTTCAGACAACTCACTGATCCATCACGCAGCACTGGACTCCTTAAGGGAACCTGATCCTGCTGTGCAGTGTGAACTCAGATGGGGCCTCCGTGTGTTGCCTTTTTCTCTTCTTTTTGTATAACTTTTATTAGCTTTATAAAACAAGGAAGATAGGAATAATAGATGATACAAATATGTAGGCTGAGTCTGTATATCTCAAACATAGCAGAATAAATTTGCAGGAGTATCTATAACATATAGTTCATCTTTTCTTGAGCAATATTTTGCCATATATTCATCAAAACATTTCCACTCCTTTTTAAAATTTTGATTCGACTGATTTCTTCTTATAGCAGTTAATTTTGCCCGAATTAAATATTCATTTAGTTTACAAATCCATTCCTCCTTTGTGGGTATAGTTTGTGACTTCCACCGAGCAGCAATTACTATTCTGGCAGCTGTACTTGTGGAATGTAATGGCGTCCGCCACACTTTCCTGTGCCAACTGTGAGCCTTAAGCTGTCTTCCTGGCTCCAAGCCGAGTTTCGCAGCAGCGGTCGTGCCTTGGGTGGGTGATAAATCCAAGGCTGTACGCAGGCTTCTTGCTTATCTAAGAAGTCTTTAATCATTGTACGGAAAAACATCATAAATCAACCCGGAGATCGAGTGGACATCTCCTCGGCTCAACAGCTAAAAACGAAAGTAACTCACACACAAAGAAAGATTCCCGTATGTGAACAAAACCACACCTCAGAATGTCACACAGAACTGTTTAACCCTGTAAGTTCTGATTCTCCTCACAGTACTTGCATATAGAAAAATACTCCCCCACCCCCCGTGGTATCTCTTCATCTCTCAATCCAAGGAGATATGTCTCTGGTTTCTTTGTTATTGATATTTTCAACATCTTCTTTATTTCTTCGTGTACTACTATCCAAAATTTCTTAATTTCCTCACACCTCCATCACATATGTATTGTTGTTCCTATTTTTCCACCACATCTCCAACAGAGGTTGGATTTCAATTTGTATATCTTTGCCAGCTTAACTGGCGTTAAGTACCACCTATAGAACATCTTTACAAAATATTCTTTAATTGTATATGAGGCAGTAAATTGTATATCCTCTCGCCAGAGTTTCTCCCGTTGCTCTAGAAAGATAGTATGTCCAAGATCCTGAGACCATTTACCGTATTTTTCGCCCTATAGGACGCACTTTTTCCCCTCCAAAAATGAAGGGGAAATGTGTGTGCGTCCTATGGGGCAAATGCAGGCTTCAGGAGAGCCCCAGCGCCAGCCCCACAAAGTCGGGGGACAGAGGGAGGCGGAACGCCGCCATCCCGCTGTCTCCCGAAGTGGTTTGGAGGCTGACGGCGGAGAGACCCCGCCGCCAGCCCCGCAAGCTCCGGGGACAGCTGGGAGGCGCAGCGCGTCTTCCCGCTGTCCCCGGACCTGATCTGAAGGCGGGCGGCAGGGAGAAGAGCGCTTCTCCCCACTGCCTGCCCCACAAGCTCCGGGGACAGCTGGGAGGCGCAGCGCGTCTTCCCGCTGTCCCCGGACCTGATCTGAAGGCAGGCGGCGAGGAGAAGAACGCTTCTCCCCGCTGCCAGCCCCGCAAGCTCTGGGGACGGGGGAGGCGCAGCGCGTCTTCCCGCTGTCCCCGGACCTGATCTGAAGGCGGGTGGCAGGGAGAAGAGCGCTTCTCCCCGCTGCCGGCCCCACAAGCGCCTGGGGGAGGGAAAATAATTTTTTTCGCTTTATTTCCCCCCCCCCCAAAAAAAACTTGGTGCGTCCTATGGGCCGGTGCGTCCTATGGGGCGAAAAATACGGTAATCATCGTTTCTTTCACTTCTTCCTCCATCAATTCCCAGTCCAATAAAAGATTATAGGTTTTGGATAACAATTTCTTGTTGTTGTTTATCACTGTGACTTTAAATTTCGAATCTTCTTTTGCAAATCCTTTCTTTTGATCCGAGTTGAATATACTTCTAAGTTGTATATATTGCCATCTGTCAATTTAAATTTTGACTTGCCAGATTCAAATAACTTCTGATAGGGAGTGTTCAGGTGAAGATGTTGCTGTTTGTTTCACAGACAAGGCGTGGACGTTGCTGGATCCTGAACAGAGAGCTCAGCATGAAGAGGTCAAGGAGAAGAATCGTGGGATCATGGACTCTCTTGGTAAGGCTCCCTGTTGGATCATAACATGTTGTGATTGCAGATGGAGTGGATTCCATGATTGAGCCAGAACAAAATCCATCCCAGATAAAAGCCAAGCAATATGTCAGTTAATACCAGCCAACTAAGGAAGTGAAACCTATAGGACGGCCTCACATCTCATTCTCTTCAGATCTTCCTCTGTCACAAGCATTCATTAACATTGTTCAATAATCTGGAGCTCCCATTTCCTCCTGAGACTCTAATTAGCACCTCTCTTCATTGCAGATGGTGATGAATTGGAAGGGAAGAACAAGGGGGAGCACAACAGAATCCACATAGCGGAGAAGTCATATAAATATTCAGAGTGTGGAGAGAACATCCGTCAAAGCTCCCAGTCCACCTCCCATCAAAGAAAGAGCTTCGTTCGAAGGAATAGCCTCACTTCACACGAAATAACACAGAGTAGGGAGAAATCGTATCAGTGCTTCGAATGTGGAAAAAGCTTCAATCGGAAAGATAGTCTCACTTCCCATCAAAGAATTCATACAGGGGAGAAGCCCTATCAGTGCTTGGAATGTGGAAAGAGCTTCAGTCTCAAGCACAATCTCACTTCCCATCAAAGAATTCATATAGGTCACAAACCATATCAATGCTTTGAATGTGGAAAGAGCTTCTGTCAAAGTGCCCATCTCACTTTTCATCAAATAATTCATACAAGAGAGAAAAATTCTTAGTGTTTGGAATGTGGGAAAGCTTCAGTCAGAGTGCTAGTCTCATGGCCCACCAAATAATTCACACAGGGTTGAAAACATTTAAGAACTCAAAGCAGGGTGAATAAAGAATAATAAATTCGGAATCTTATTCAACGCCCTCCAATGCAGAAATCTCGTTTCAAGCACCCGTAACAAATGGCCATCCAAATTCTTCCTAAAAACCTCCAATAAAGAGGAGTCTACTCCCTTCCGATATAGTTCCTTTTCACTGTCCGTTCTTACTATTGGAAAGTTCTTCCTGGGGAAGCCAGGTGGCCTCTCTGTGGGCTACTGGAAAGAATTAAAGGACGAGCCTCTTCTGTAAAAGATATTATGAACCAATTGCTGGGAACGGGACAAACCCCAGAAACCTGAAAAGAGGCAAACATTACTTGGATACCCAAACAAGATAAGGACATAACAAATCCTTAAAATGTCCGACCGATTTCATTATTAAACTGCGACTATAAACTGTTTGCGGACGCTGGCGCTGTGGGTTAAACCACAGAGCCAAGGACTTGCCGATCAGAAGGTCGGAGGTTTGAATCCCGCGACGGGGTGAGCTCCCGTTGCTCGGTCCCTGCTCCTGCCAACCTAGCAGTTCGAAAGCATGTCAAAATGCAAGTAGATAAATAGGTATTGCTCCGGTGGGAAGGTAAACGGCGTTTCCGTGCGCTGCTCTGGTTCGCCAGAAGTGGCTTAGTCCTGCTGGCCACATGACCTGGAAGCTGTACGCTGGCTTCCTCAGCCAGTAAAGCGAGATGAGCGCTGCAACCCCAGAGTTGGCGACGACTGCACCTAATGGTCAGGGGTCCCTTTACCTTTATAAACTGTTTGCAGCAATATAAGCGAACATATTTGAAAAGTTATGAATGAGTAATTGTATTTTTCGCTCCATAAGAGGCCCCTGACCATAAGATGCACATAGGTTTTAGAGGAGGAAAACAAGAAAAAAAATATTCTGAATGAAACAGTGGGCGTATGATTTTTGTGGTTCATGCTGTGACCACAAACGTGATCTGATGGTGAATTTGGGGTGACCCAATGCAAAAATCCTGAGGATCAAATGTGGATCTGTGCTTTGTAACCACGTTTTTTGCATCACTGTGGCCCCACGCAACAGTGAATGTGTGATTTTTTTGGTGCAGGCTGTAGCCATGAACATGCTATGTGATCTGATGGTGAATTTGGGGTGACCCAATGTAAAAATCCTTTGGATCCATGGGCTTTTACCTCCTCTCTCCCAAGCAGCGTCCCTTATCTCTCTTCCAATCCCACCGATCAGTTGTTTCCTTTCAACACTCTCTTTCCTCTTGTTTGCCTTAGTGTTTTTTCCTTAGCGAGAGCAGTTTTTTGCTCCTCCTTTTCTTCTAATTTCTCTCCTTATTGTTTTAGTCTTCCTGTCTTCTCTCCTTGCAAGTTTGCTGTCTTTACCTCCCGCCTCCCAGGCAGTTTCCTTTATCTCTAGCATCCCTTATCTCTCTCCCCGATCAGCGGCTTTGTTTCAACACCCATTTCCCTCTTTAAAAAAAAAAGTATGATCTGCTTTCTGTCCCTGGGCAATTCGGCCCCAGGGACCACGCATTCGCTCCATAAGACGCACAGACATTTCCCCTTTTTAGGAAGAAAAAAGTGTGTCATGGAGTGAAAAATACGGTAATACATAAGGACCAAACAGGCAGAAGTATAAGACAGTAACAGATGCACTCAAGAAGAATTCGATTAGATTCCCGTGGGAATTTCCTGACGGTATCACTTTTACATACAAGGAAAGAAGAAAATTTTTAGATCAGTGGATGAGTTGGGAAAATTCTGGAGGAAATACAAAAAAGAACTAAATGGTGATTCAACGTTGGAGCGAGAAGAAACAACGCAGACACCACAAGAAGTATAGAGAGACAAGCGGGTATTAAGGGGGGGGGAAGAGACTGGAAAAAACAATAGCAAAATTCACAAACTTCTGAGTTTTCCTTTTCCTTTTATTTATTCAATGAAACCATTGTAGATAACAAATAAAGATTAATGAATTTAAAAATTATATCTTGGAATGTTAACGGTTTAAATGATAAGAGAAAGAGAAATAGAATAGAATATGTATTGAGGAAAGGACAATGGGATATCATAGAAGAGTTTGGATTTGATATCCCGCTTTATCACTACCCGAAGGAGTCTCATAGCGGCTAACAATCTCCTTTCCCTTCCTCCCCCACAACAAACACTCTGTGAGGTGAGTGGGGCTGAGAGACTTCAGAGAAGTGTGACTGGCCCAAGGTCACCCAGCAGCTGCATGTGGAGCAGAGATGCGAACCCAGTTCACCAGATTACGAGTCCACTACACTATACTAGCTCTCATTTCATATTCTTGCAGGAGGCCCATGTGACTAGAAATCATACAAGGGTTTTAGTAAACAAGAGATTGGGTCAAGAATTTATATCTTCAAATGTAAAATAGAAAAGGGGAATTGTGATCTATGTAAAGAACATTTTATTATAGTAGGAATCTACGCACCAAATGGTAACAAAACAGAATTTTTCAGAAAAGTAGAAGCTAATTTACTGGAATTTATAGAAGAGGAAATTATTTTGATGGGAGACCTAAATGGCGTTACATATTGACGCATGGAGATATAAAAACCCAGGAGAGAGACAGTATACACATTTCTTGGAAATAAAAAATCAGCTGGCAGAATTGCTGGAATATGGCTAACAAATAACTTAACGATTAAATTTAAAAAGCAGAAATATGGACCAAAATTATTACAGATCATAACCCAGTTACATTAGAATTAAAGGAACACAAGAAAATTAATAAAAGATGGAGACTTAATGAAAGAATATTAAACGATGAAAAGACTGTGAAAAAAGCGCAACAATTGATGAAGGAATTTTTTGAATTAAATAAAGAGCCCATCTTTTTCAAGGGATGCTTCTTAAACTTGGGAATGTCTGCATGTGACCCATCTCTACAGCTCCCATAAACACCACAGAGAAAGTGGCCAGAGCCTGAAAGGCGAAAGCCTTGGCTTCGAACGCAGGACTCAGGGACGCTTTCCCCCATGGAGACCTGGGAGCCCTTATTTTCTTCTCCCTGTGCTCCCCCCATGTGGGAATGTTCCTATCTGGCTACAGTTGGCTGGTTGGCAGTCATCTGTCTTGGGAGACCATGGAAGAGTGTGTCTTTGGGAGTGAGATCCAGTTGTTGGAAGGTCACAGCGCCAGCCGTGGGTGTGGAGAGCGACAGGGGAGAGACATGTGTTGTTGCATCTGGGACACAGGAAGTGGTCCGGTTTTGCTGCTGCAGATGCAGACGGGCTTTTCTTCTCCCTGTGCTCCTTCCACGTGGGAATGTTCCCGTCTGGCTGCAGCCTCTGTTCACAAATGTGACTTTTCCCTCCATCTGAAGGGGGTTTATTTCCTTGACCCGAAGCCCCCTCCCCCGAAAGGAAGGCAGCATCTGGATCCCAAGGAAGAAAAGAGCTTCAGTCCTCCTGCGAAGTGGAGGGGGGAATTTCGCCATGGAGGACCTTCACTCCCCCTTCACTTCCCGTCCTCTCTAGGACTCCCGCTCTGCTCCTCTTAACCCTTGCAAGCCCAGCCCTCCCTCTGCCCCTCGGAGCCCGACTCAGCGCCCGGGAGACGGGGCTTCCCCCGGAGTCTCCGGCAAGGGCAACAGCTCCGCCTGGTCCAAGCAGCCTCCTCGAGAGGAATCCCAGATCCCCAGGGAGACCCTGCCAAGTCCGGCCTCCGCAGCCCCAGAGTCTGCCCTCCAGCTCCCCATCTTCCCTGGGGCAGCCCTGAATTGGGGAGGCCAAGCTGGGGTCCGGAGACGCCTCCTTCCCTGGGACTTGGAGGCTGGCAGGCCCAGTCAGACTTGGGGGGGCCCTTTCCCTCCGCCCCCCCACTCCCAGGGGTCCCCTCAGCCCTCCTTCTTGGGGTCTCCCCCCCCCTCTCAGTCCTCCCCCCACACCCAGGGGGTCCCCTCAGCCCTCCTTCTTGGGGGTCTCCCCCCCCCCCCTCAGTCCGCCCCCCACACCCAGGGGTCCCTCAGCCCTCCTTCTTGGGGTCTCCTTCCCTCCCCTCAGTCCGCCCCCACACCCAGGGGTCTCCTCAGCCCTCCTTCTTGGGGGTCTCCCTTCCCTCCGCCCCCACACCCAGGGGTCCCCTCAGCCCTCCTTCTTGGGGTCTCCCTCCGCCCCCCTCTCAGTCTGCCCCCACACCCAGGGGTCCCCTCAGCCCTCCTTCTTGGGGTCTCCCTTCCCTCCCCCTCAGTCCGCCCCCACACCCAGGGGTCCCCTCAGCCCTCCTTCTTGGGGGTCTCCTCCGCTCCCCCTCTCAGTCCGCCCCCACACCCAGGGGTCCCTCAGCTCTCCTTCTTGGGGGTCTCCCTTCCCTCCCCTCTCAGTCCGCCCCCACACCCAGGGGTCGCCTCAGCCCTCCTTCTTGGGGTCTCCTTCCCTCCCCCTCTCAGTCCGCCCCCACACCCAGGGGTCCCTCAGCCCTCCTTCTTGGGGTCTCCTTCCCTCCCCCTCAGTCCGCCCCCACACCCAGGGGTCCCCTCACCCTCCTTCTTGGGGGTCTCCTTCCCTCCCCCTCAGTCCGCCCCCACACCCAGGGGTCCCTCAGCCCTTGCTCTTGGGGGTCTCCCTCCCCCTCAGTCCGCCCCCACACCCAGGGGTCCCTCAGCCCTCCTTCTTGGGGTCTCCCTCCGCTCCCCCTCAGTCCGCCCCCACACCCAGGGGGTCCCCTCAGCCCTCCTTCTTGGGGGTCTCCTTCCCTCCCCCTCAGTCCGCCCCCACACCCAGGGGTCCCCTCAGCCCTCCTTCTTGGGGGTCTCCCTCCGCCCCCCCTACCAGGCCGCCCCCACACCCAGGGGGTCCCCTCAGCCCTCCTTCTTGGGGGTCTCCCTCCGCCCCCTCTCAGTCCGCACCCCACACCCAGGGGGTCCCCTCAGCCCTTGCTCTTGGGGGTCTCCTCTCCCTCCCTGACTGGAAGGAGACCCCGCCTCCGCCTGCCTCCCCACAGCTTCTCCCCTTGAACTCCCTCTTTCGAGACAGCACCAATTTCCATTTCTTCTTGATCAAAACCCACAGACGCTCTGCTAGATTTTTACAGGTTTTACAAGTATCTATCAGGATAGTAAGAATTTTATCACAGTGAGCCAAAAAGGATTTTATGTGTTCCATGTCCTCTGTTAGTACTACAAGCCACCCAGTGACTGATAATCCCTCCTCATTTGTCCGAAAAGGTTGGGAGAAGGACTCTTCTATCCTCGCTTTAGCATTTCCTGAGGATACATCTGAAATTTGATTTCACGTTAGTTTGTCTACTTCTTTAGTCTGAATAGGGGAGAGACATGTGTTGTTGCATCTGGGACAGAGGAAGTGGTCCGGTTGTGCTGCTGCAGATGCAGACGGGCTTTTCTTCTCCCTGCGCTCCCCCCACGTGGGAATGTTCCCGTCTGGCTGCAGCCTCTGTTCACAAATGTGACTTTTCCCTCCCTCTGAAGGGGGTTTATTTCCTTGACCCAGAGCCCCCTCCCCCGAAAGGAAGGCAGCATCTGGATCCCAAGGAAGAGCAGAGCTGCAGACCTCCTGCGAAGTGGCCCCTCCCTGGCTTGGCAGAGAGGACAAGGGAGGACCTTCTGCTCCCTGACTTGGGGGTCTCTCCCCCGCCCCCGGCATGATCTGAATAGGGACCCCCATGCATTCCCTGCACCCCAGGTAGTGGCATAACAAGGTCAGGGGTACCTGGTGTGGAAAAGTTTTTGTCACCTCCCAATATTGAACTTTTTTTGCCTGCAAAAATGTATTTTGTATTTTCTTACAAAGGAATGTGGATTCTGGGCCTCTGATAACAAGTAGGCCACTGTGGACAGTTACTTAAATCTACAGGATGCATTGTGTTTTGGCTTGTGTTGTTTTATTAATATTTATTATTTATTTCATAAAATTTATTTAAAAAAACCTGCCAAGTTGTTTACCAATACAAAAGAAAACCACACACACAGCAGTAAAATCAATAAAAATTAACAAGCCTACTTTAAAACACAGAAAGCTAAAATATTAAAAGAGATTAAAATTACTTCAGCTTCCTAAGCATCTGGCTATGCTTGCCTAAACAAGAATGCTTTTAGCAGGTGCCAGAAAAGAGTCTAGCAAAGGCACGCGCTTTATTGCAAGAGGCGGGGAGTTCCAAAGGGCAGGTGCTGCCACACTAAACAACGCAGTGCTGGAAAGGGGGTGAAAGGAGGAGCTCCTGGGAGGAAAGGAGGTGCCGTGGAAATGCCATTCTAGAAGTAAAGAGCCTCTGTCTCTCACTCCTCCGCCAAACGAGAGCCAGGTGTGTGTGTGTAAATATATACTTTAAGTAGATCATAGATAGATGTATATAGGTTTGTATATATAACAGACAGGCACAGAATTGCCCTCATTCAAGATGGCCGCGGGCCCTTCCTCCCGCTCCAAACATGGGAGGACCGGCTGCCCTGACCCAACATGGCCTCTCCCCTTTCTCCACAGCGGCTTCCCCTCGCGAGGCGATTGGGCAAGGGGGAGAGAGCACCCGGAAGTGGGTGGATTGAGCCAGCTGCCTGGTTAGCCACGTGGGTTTGGGAGAGAGCAGTAGCCATGGAGGGAGGGAGGGGAGCAGGATAGGGGGCGCGGGAGGAGGCAGGAGACCCTTGCAAGGGGTGGGGCTGGATGGTTTTTGGGGAGCATTTAGGATTCATTTGCAATGTTGCAGGTTCCATCAGGGCAGCTCCGGGGTTTCCATAACTTGTTGTCTTGGCGTTTTGCTACTTTCCTTGATAGTCTGACCCCACACATACAGACCTCCCTCTTTCTCTCTCTCCCCCCCAAAAAATAAGTCCTCCAGAGATACTGGGAGGGCAAAGCCCCCCCAAGCCGAAACAGAAGAGAGGTGCTTGGGATCCCAAGAAGCCCCTGCAGAATGAGCCCCCGAATGGGTCCTGGCAGGAAGAAGTAGATATCAGGGGTATGAGGGTGGTGGTGGGGAGTAGGTCTGCATTGCAGGAGGGGCTAGATGTCCCTTGGGGGTCCCTTCCAATTCAGCCAGTCTGAAGTCTGGGAAAGGGGCTGAATCTTTGGGGAGTGGAGATACAACTTGCCCCCAACCTCCCCAATTCCACATCCGCCTGGTTCGCTCTTGGGCGTTTGCTGCAATCCCTGCCTTGCAGGGGGTTGGACTAGATGGCCCCTGGGGGCCCTTCTGACACTGTGATTCTGTGATTTCTTCCGGAAAGTGGATCTGTTTCCTGGCCCAGCCTCCATCCATCGTTCTCTGCTAATTTGACCTCCACCCTATTATTCTGCCTTTCCCATCCTTGAATATTTGTTTGAAATCTAATTTGGGGTTAATGTACAAAACCACTTCCCTTTTCTTGGTTTTTTCTATGTTTTCCTGCAAATATATAATGTCCAATTTTTGTTTTAGCAAGATGTGTGTTATTTGGTTTCTTTTGGTTTTATTCTTAAGTCCATTTATGTTCCACAAGAGCACTTTCAGATCCATCCCAATGTCCTCTTTTTTGTCCCTTTACTCCTCTCCCTTCTCCTTCTACTTCTGCTTGTCATGTTTCCTCTAATTCTCCAAAGTTTTTTATTATTAACCTTTCATTAATACTTCTCCAATTGATACAATACCAAATCTTGCCACATTATAATACACAAAATAAAACCATGTTCTGGCTGGCCAGGAGAATTTGTTTGTTTGTTTCTTGTTCCTACTTTTCTCTCTCTTATTTATTCCCAATATCATCCCAATCTTAATGCTTCATCTTATCTTGACAGCCACTGGTATGCAACTTTCATTGTATTTAACAGATCTATATGTAAATTTACATGCAAGATGAACATTTTGCTCTTCTTGTTGTCCATCAATTGTTTTCCATGCAGTCCCTCCTCAGACAGCCCTATTTCATTCCACCGTCTTACCTTCCAGGACTCTGGGCTGTCTTCCAGCTTTCCTTTGTTTATTTAAAATTAAGACAAATGTAATGTATTTTAACTGACTGATAGTTTCCCAAACTGAAGAATCTTCTGTAAGAGACCACACCGTGGGATATATTTCACAGTTAAGAATTGTTCGGTTCCTCTACAATCCAAGCTTGCTCGACCTGGGCCCAAAGATCAAAGATTCATCTTCACTTTATAAATCCACATACGACAAAAGTCCATGCAAGCAGATGTGGTTTCCTGTGTGAAATATTCCCCAGTTGTAATCTGTTGGTTGTCTTCAGCCCCCTTTGAGAGGGACCCCATTTTTTCTCATACGCCATCATTTGCGCCATTTTAGCATCCCCAGCCGAAAACATATTTAATCATGTAATTGTTTTTTTTATAAGATATTTATTAAAATTTTCAATGTTTTAGAAAACACACAAAGAAAAGAAAACGAAAAAAGAATAAAAAGAAAATACATAGTAAAAATATAAAAACAATTCTTTCCTTCCATTATTTAACCTTCATTTACTCATTTCCAGGACCTCCTCACACCTTCCTTTTTGTATTCCAGTTCAATTATTTTGTTCAGCAAATCCCTCCCCTCTTTTAATATCCTAATCATTAATCATAAAAATGTTGTAATTTTAGATTTTTACATATTACATAATAAACCCTTTTTTCATCTTCCCTTGTAACCTTTCAGCTAGAGACCACTTAGTTTCTATCCGGCATCATTCTAACATTCATTAATTTTAAAATATTTCTGTAAATAATCTTTAAACTTTTTCCAATCTTCCTCCATCGACTCTTCTCCCTGGTCTCGGATTCTGCCAGTCATTTCTGCCAGTTCCATATAGTCCATCACCTTCATCTGCCATTCTTCCAAGGTGGGTAGATCTTGTGTCTTCCAATACTTTGCAATAAGAATTCTTGCTGCTGTTGTAGCATACATAAAGAAAGTTCTGTCCCTCTTTGGCACCAATTGGCCGACTATGCCCAAGAGAAAGGCCTCTGGTTTCTTCAAGAAGGTATATTTAAATACCTTTTTCAATTCATTATATATCATTTCCCAGAAAGCCTTAATCTTTGGGCACGTCCACCAAAGGTGGAAAAAAGCACCTTCATTCATATTTAATCATGTATTTGAACAAAGTCTCTCCATATCTTCAAACAAGCTGATACCTTGCCAATAATAATTAGAGCCCTCCACAAAGGACCGCACCATTAAACATCAAATTCTCAAGTTTTTTTTAGGAAGATTCACTTGCATTCCATTTAATTAATTGAATCTTTCTCCATGAGGCTTGCCAAATCATGAAGTAGCTGGCAGTACTGCAGTGTTTCATTCTTTCATTGCACAGTGTGACACTGTGCCTTTAATTGCCTAATTACCTAATGTATCATCGTGTGAGAACGGGAGCGATTTCTATATCTCCTCCTCCTCCCCTCTGGTCCTTGCATCTGGCTTTTGCTGAAGGATACGGCTGCGTGAGTCAGCTCGTCGCTCTGTTGCCTTCTTATCTTCTCGATGCTGCTTTCCAGCCAGAGTCTGCTTCTGCTGTACTCTGCTACTACGGGCGAAGTTCCTCACCATTCGGACAAATGAGGGAGGGCATTGGCCCAACAGTAGCAAGTATAAGCAAAGATGAGACGCTCACTTCACATCTTCTGTAGCAGAGCGACAAAAGTCCTTTCAAAGTCCAAATTCAAATCTTTGTTGAAAAACAGGAATGCTCCCGCTCATGGCGTTGGCATTGGAGATTTTCCAATTCGTGCAATGCTAAACACCCAGCGCCCCTGCCTCCACTGTAGCGTGCGGCAGATATCGGACGGCGTGCGGGTGAAGGCACATCCGCCCCATCCCTGCGGGGTTCAACAGGGATAATTACCTGTGAGGAGAATCAGAACTTACAGGGTTAAACAGTTCTGTGTGACGTCTCACATTCTGAGGCGTGGTTTGGTTCACATACGGGAATCTTTCTTTGTGTGTGAGTTTTCCTTTCGTTTTTGGCTGAGAGACGAAAGGATGTCCGCTCTCTTGCGGGGCTGATTTATGATGTTTTTCTTCTCATTAAAGGCTGTTGGAGATTAGCAAGAAGCCTGCATTCAGTCTGATTTATTATCCACACACAAGGCAACACTTTCTACCGCTGCAGAACTCTGCTAAGGACTCTGCTAAGAGAGCTCAAGTTTTTCTATCGGCACAGGCGTCCATTGGCGCAGCGGAAGCGTGCCGGGCACCATCTTATCTCAGCAGGTTATGGAAGCTAGCCAAGCTTTGGAAGCTGTTGCCACGTTGTGCCTGTGGGGGGGGGAGAAGCCAGCTGGAGCTCCTGCCTAACGTTTGAGACAGTGAAGCTTGCTGGGGAGGATCTCATCTTCAGGACCGGGTGCCAAGAGGAGCTGCTGTTACGTGAGTAGGCTCAGCCCCGGGGGAGAATATGGCAGATGGACAGGAGTCATTCTCAGTCCCCTTTGAAAAATTAAATGGGAGCAACTGGGAGGAGTGGTCAAGGAAGCTGAAGGCCTGGCTGGTAGCCAAGGGTCTGTGGGAGGCGACCCAAGGGCCCCCACAGCAAGCTGCAGCCGGAGCTGCAGCAGCGGTTGCTGCAGCTGCCCAAGCCTCGCAGAGGAAAGACCCAAAAGCCTTAGGAGCTATAGTGCTCAGTTTGGAGGGCTCACAGCTACCTTTGGTGGAGGGTCTTGAGACTGCTCAGGAGGCCTACCAGGCACTAGAGAGAGTGCATCACAGGACCACAGCTGGGGCAAAGATCCACACCACCAGAAGCTTGTTTGAGCTGAAGCTGCGTCCTGGTGATAGCATCAGACAGCATGTGACTAAGATGCTCTCTGTTTTCAACAAGCTGAGACTGTTGCAAGTCAACTTTACTGAGGAACTGAAAGTTTATATTTTGCTCAGCTCTTTGGACAAAAGTTATGACAATTTGTGTCTAACTTTGGAATCGATGAATCCAGCGGATCTTACGCTGCAGTATGTGACTGGTCGTTTGTGTGACGAGGAGGAACGCCGTCTCAGAGAGGGCCGAGCTGGCTCAGGGTGACCTGCCGGTAACAGAGGGGGGGCCAAGCCAGCAGAAGGCACAGTTCAGGCTTTTTCCACTCGTCGTTGTTTTGTCTGCAGGTCTGTTGACCACCTGCGTCGGTCCTGTCCGAGGAGAGCCAGAGAAGCCGGGCAGGATGTCTCCAAGGTCACTTCCCATGGCAGTCAGCCAAGTCCTCGTGGCAGCCAGCCAGGTTTCCATGGCAGCCAGTCTAGGAGAGGAGGCCAGCGTGGGAATGCGAAGGGAGGACGTGACAGAGGAGGTGAGGAGGACAGTTGTTCTTATCACCTTGCTGCTGCCTCCATGGCAACGCTAAAGAACAACTCCAGTGAGGGCAGCATGCTGCATTGGGTCATCGACTCAGGAGCCAGCCATCACCTGATGCCATCGCCATCTAGTGGTGAAATGTGGAACTGCAAGGCTGTTTCAACTGGGAAAACAGTCACTCTTGCTGATGGCTCACAGAGACAATTAACCACTGTTGGCAATGTGTTTGTTTCTTTTTTACAGGCAGAGCTGGAAGTCTATGTTGTGCCAGGAATGAAGTGTTGTCTTTTATCTGTATCTGCTCTTGTAAAGGAGGGTTATAAGGTTTGCTTTGAAAATGATGTCTGTTCTATTTCCAGGGGTGGGAAACAACTGGTCAGTGTTGCATGTCAGAACAACCTCTTTGTTCTGGAGACACCTCTGGAGGGTAAGGGGGACGCTGAGACAGCACAGGCGCGGTGTGCTAACGTTCCCACACATGATTCGTGTGCTCATTTGTGGCACAGGAGAACGTCACACAGCTGTTGGAAATATATCCAGAAGTTGCCAGAATGCACTGAGGGTTGCAAGATGAAACCATGTGGTAAATTCTTGGATTGTAGGGCATGCAAAAGAGCAAAGATAAAAAGGTGCAGTTATCCCAGATCGGAGAGGGTAACCACAAGGCCTCTTGAGCTTGTGCATACAGACCTTTGTGGACCCATGCCAGTGCCGAGTATGGGTGGAGCCAGGTATGCGCTCACGCTGACAGATGATTTTTCGAGGAACGGCTGGATTTTCTCGCTGAAACGGAAAAGCGAGACGGTGCAACTGATCAAAGACTGGGTTGTGGTGGTGGAACTACAGTTTTCCACCAAGGTGCAGAGCTTTCAGAGCGACCGAGGCGGAGAGTTCACCGGGTCTGCTCTGCAGAGTTTCTTCCGCCAGAAGGGGATAAGTCACAGGTTGACGGTTGCCTTTTCTCCTCAGGAGAATGGCGTAGCGGAGCGCAGGAACAAAACGCTAGCTGAGGCAGCTGACGCTCTACTGTTTGACTCTGGTTTGCCTCAGAGCTTTTGGGCCGAAGCTTGGAAGCTGCCAGCTTCACGTTGAACAGGTCCTATAGCTCTGTTGTAGGAGACACACCCTATTTGCTGCACGGGAAGAAGCCCAAGGTGCATTTCTTCCGTGTATTTGGTTGCGAAGCTTGGGTGCTTGTGCCAAAGGCTCAACGCAAGAAAGGTGACCCGAGGTCCCAGAAAATGATCTTTTGTGGGTACAAGCCTGTGACAAAAGGGTGGAGGTTTGCCTATCCAGAAGGTGATCAGTCCAGGATTCTACTCAGCAGGAGTGCTGAGTTCTGTGAGCAGAGTGGTTGGTCAAGGATCCATGCGAATTCTGACGTTCTCTCAGGGTGTCTGTCTGATTTTGCTGAGGAGGGAGAGTTAGAAGCTGAACCTGTTGATGAGGACCAGGTCTCTGACCAGGGTCAAGAACAGGGAGGGGCATCTCCACAGGTTGTGAAAAGAGAGCCCGAGTGAGCCTTCGTCTCCCGTTAGTCAAGTGCAGAAGGCCAGAAGATGCAGTAAGTCAGGGGGGGAGTCTTCTGATAACAAGGACACACTTGCTGGCCCCAGTGGGTCAGAGGGAGCACCTGAGACAGTGCTCAGACGTTCCACACGCACTACAAAGGGGGTACCACCTGAGAGGTTTGAGGTTACCAACGTGTGGGTTGGTTTAGCGCAGTGCGAACCAGAGAGTTTTGAGGAGGTTCAACAGTTGCCTGAAGCAGAAGCCAGGAAGTGGCAAGAGGCAATGGGAAAGGAGTTGAACTCAATGAGGTCCTTAGGTGTGTTCTCCACCACGAAGCTGCCAGAGGGCAAGCAGGCCGTGAGCTGTTGTTGGGTTTACAGGATTAAGCCCACAGCGTCTGGAGAACCACAGTACAAGGCGAGGCTTGTAGCCAGAGGGTTCACGCAGAGAAGGGGGTTGCATTACACCGAGGTGTATGCTCCTACGTCCCGGAGTGAGACTCTGCGCGTGCTTTTAGCAGTAGCTGCTCAAAGAGGGCACCAAGTGCACCACTTTGATGTGGATGTGGCTTATTTGAACTCGGATCTGAAGGAGGATCTGTACATGTTACCTCCTCCAGGGTTGGAGGGCAATGAGCCAGGTGTTGTGTGGAAGCTGCACAAGTCAATTTATGGTTTGAAACAGTCAGCCAGAAATTGGAACATGTGCCTGAATGAAGCTCTGGAAAGTTTGGGTTTCCAGAAGAGTCTTGCAGACAGTTACCTGTACCTGAAGGGGTCAGGAGAGACAGGAAGCGATTCTGGTGTTTGTAGATGATACTCTGTACGTGGCACAGACAGGTAGACAGGTGCAAGGTTTTGCCAAAGAGCTTGGTAAGAAGTTTAAGCTCAAAAACCTTGGTCCCGTTCAGGTTTATCTAGCCGTTAGGATAGACAGGTCTGAGAACGGGAGTTTCTTGCTCAGTCAGAAAGGCAAGATTGAGCAGTTGCTTGAGAAGTTCCAGATGTCTGACTGTGCAGGGGTCAGAACGCCCATGGAGACCAACTTCGTGAAGGACAGTCAGCTTGGGAGCGTTCTGAGTTCCAAAACCCTGAGGTGTTTCTAGTCAGCGCTAGGGAGTCTGTTATCTCTCTCAGTGGAGCAGACCAGACATAGCATTTGCTGTGAATCTGCTCAGCAGGGAGGCTACAAAGCCCAGTGTGAATGCCTGGCAAGGCATCAAGAGAGTGTTGAGGTATTTGCAGGATACCAAAGAGTTTTGCCTCATGTTGTCGGCTGAAGGTGACGCACGGCTTACGTGCTGGAGTGACAGCGATTGGGCATCTCTTGGAGACAGGAAGTCTGTGTCAGGGCTGGTGGTAAAGTTTGGGAATCCCTGGTTGGTTGGAAGTCCTGGAAGCAAAGTCTTATTGCACTTTCTTCCACTGAGGCTGAGTTCAGTGCGTTGTTGGATTTGTGCAGGGAGTTGGACTTCTACCGGTGCTTGATCCAAGAGATCTGTGGGGATTGTTACTTGCCCATAACTGTTTGGGGAGACAATCAACCTTGTCTTAGGTTGGCAGAATCTGGACAGTTCAAGTCCAGAACCAAGCATTTGGACATACGTTTCCAGAATGTATGTCAGAGTGTCCAAGCAGGTTGGATACAGCTCAAGTATTGTTCGAGCCGGGAGAACCTAGCTGATGGGTTTATCGAACCCTTGACCTTCCAGCGACATGGGGAGTTCTGTGAAGGGTTGTGTTTGGGGTGAGTTATACTCACAGTTTCCCTCAGGATGCGAGACGAGAGGGTGTGGAGGAGAATCAGAACTTACAGGGTTAAACAGTTCTGTGTGACGTCCTCACATTCTGAGGCATGGTTTGGTTCACATACGGGAATCTTTCTTTGTTTGTGAGTTTTCCTTTCATTTTTGGCTGAAAGACGAAGGATGTCTGCTCTCTCGCCGGGCTGATTTATGATGTTTTTCTTCTCATTAAAGGCTGTTGGAGATTAGCAAGAAGCCTGCATTCAGTCTGATTTATTATCCACACACAAGGCAACACTTTCTACTGCTGCAGAACTCTGCTAAGGACTCTGCTAAGAGAGCTCAAGTTTTTCTTTTTTTAAAAAAATAATATTTATTAAAAGTTTCAGAATTACAAATAAGAAGGAAAAAGAGGAAACGACACTACAATACATAAAAAAGAGAAAAAGAAAAAGAAAAAAAGAAAAAATACATAAAAACTAATACAACAATACAACAACAAAAAGAAAAAAAACACAAATCCCATATTACATATCTTTAACTTCCATTTGCTTGTTTCATTGACCTCCTCACACCTCCCTTTTTGTATTCTAGTTTAATTAGTTGTTTCAGCAAATTCTTTCCATCTTTCTCAATTTTTATTAAATAATTTATCTTAACAGTCTATTAGTTAACTCAGCAAATCCTTTCCATCTTTCCCCATATTCTGTTATTCAATTTGTGTTGGGTTGAAATCACGACAGACGAATGGTGGGTGTCAAAGGAGAGACGTCTGCCCGGGGCAAGTCCCGGGAACTCTCTTTTATTGAATATTACAAACATTGCCACAGGTGTGCTTGTGGCTGATTGGCTGATACAAACACAAAGCATCTTGTTGCTGATTGGTTAACATAGGTACAAGGCGGGCATTACATATTACATTAATCAGTGATAGTTCAAAAGACTGGGAACGGAGCTGGAACTAGACAGGCATGAATCCTCCTAATTAAATTGTAACTAAGATTAATATAACATGACTAAAACAATTACTAATGATTGATCATAAGTGAAAGGTCCGTATATGTGGTCAGCTATGCATTGAGAACAGAGCATGTTGTTTTTTGTACGTGAACTCAGAATGAACTGAAGAATTGAGGGAATGTCTGGGTGTGCTGAGCTCGGTGTGTTTGGAACAGTATGTGCAGAGCAGAAGGAGACTTCCCAGAATCCAAGAGGAAAGAAGCAAGAGTTTTCATAGTAAGCATAGAAAGATTTCATAGTAAGACTTCCCATAATGCCACAGTTATGTGCAGTAAGAGAACTGCAGAAAGAGAACTTCACAGTGAGAGAACTGCAGAAAGAAAACTTCCCTTCAAATTTGCCTTAATTTATTTAGCCTTATCTTACCGTAAAGTACCTTAGAGCTTAAAACTTAATACTTATTTATACATAACTCCTTATATCATTTCTACTAAAGCCAGATAGTTTCATTCCAACATTTTCCCTAATATTCATTAATTTTACGTTAATTCCCAAAATAAAAATTTTTCTTTATAAATTTTATTCCAATCCTCATCCAACGTCTCTTCTTCCTGGTCTCGGGTTATGTCAGTCCTTACTGTCCTTTCCCTCTAGTCCATCAACCTGGTAATCTTATGTCCGAGGCTCTTAAGTCTCTTCCATGTCCCTTCTGCAGATCTTCTTCTTCTTGTTTATACCTGCACTTTTCCTTGTCTTTTGTTGGTCTCTTTCTTAATTTCTTTCCTTTCTCATTGAGGAGTAGGTCTCTGGGAGATTCCAGTCCGAAATTATCTCCATCTCCCCTCATCAGACCAGCCCATTCCCCACAGTCCCACTCCCCACAGTCATCAGTGTAATCCAAAAAATATTTAAAAGCATATTTCAAAGTCCCTCTGAAGTTAAGAGCCTACTCAGCTCCAAACTCCCCCTGGCCCACTCCAAATTCAACCTTCAAAAACAGCGGCTTATGCTCCTGCAGGGCCTCGGATCTCTCCATTTGTATTACTTGAGGTGCAACCGCACCCTCCTCCATTATCTTCTGCACTTGCACTTGCCCAGTCAAAACAGGTTCCTGAGTTGGTCCCTGAATGATTTCTGTATCAGTATTCCCTGTTTGTCCGCAGTTACTGACTACAACAGTCATCAAATCCATCTTCTCATTCATCAAATCCATCTTCTCATGCATCTGCTCCAACAAAGCACTTGTCTTGCAAAAAGCAAGCACCAAAACTTCCTCCCAACACATTTTTATCCAAGGTCAAAAGACTGGTCCCACGATCTTAATCTCACAGCTGTAAAGTCCCCAAGTAGACTGCAGCAACAATTTAACAGGCTCCCTCTAGAGGAGACAATTTCTATTTGTATCCAACTTTTTAAAGCAAGTCCAACAAAGGAAAGTTACTTTCATTTTTCAAATATTTTGTTTCTTTAGAATGCAAAAGGCAACATTGGAATCAGTTTATTTCTCTTTTTTAGCTATCTGTCAAAATGTTCCATTCACAGTCGATGAACATCTCCAACAATTTCTGTCTCTGACACCCCGTTCCCAGGTTTGAGACGGTGGAAACTTATCTTTCTTTACTCCCTCTCCTGCAGGCTTAAACAGTCAAAGTCCCCCCCCCTTTTCTCCTGCTTCCAAGGGGGGTTTTAGTGGTTATAAATGAAGGAAATTTAGACCTTTATAAACGACTTTCCAGGCTTTAGCTTACAAGGTTTTTGCTTTAGTCTATTTACAAAAGCGGAAGGTGGACTTCCTGTTTTGAACCTTCCCACTTCGGTGCCAAATTAGGATGTTTCTTAATCCAATTTTCCATTTCTACTCACGGGTACTTGTTTTAAGTCCAATTGTCCACAGGAAAAGGTCAGCACTCTCCGGCAATGGCTGTGCGGCTTCACTCCGTGAAAGTAGCAGTCAGTTCACAGCACCGCACCGCTCACCCCACTTCGCTCTGGAGCCCCAAAATGGGGTTCCCCACGAGTAGGGGAGGCGCTCCTGGTGCCCTGCCGAACCCCACGTTCCCAGGCTTCCTCCACCTGGGATTTCTAGCGGGTCCCCACCTTTGCCGCGGCGGGAAGACCCAGTTTCCACGGAGCCAGTTCCTCCGGTCAGAGGAACTCCGCCATTCGCCGATGGCGCTAACCCAGAAGTTGAGAGCTCAAGTTTTTCTATCGGCACAGGCGTCCATCGGCGCAGCAGAAGCGTGCCGGGCGCCATCTTATCTCAGCATTACCCCCAGATTCACCTTGTTTAATTGCATGACTGGGGTCCGGTGTCCTGGGAAAGCAGCCAAACGCCATAGGCCATCACACCGGAAGTCTTCTCCAAAGTCTTTTTTTATATTTTCTCTCTGATAGTAAGAGCTGACAGTGAAAAGGAACTCTCTCTGAAGGGGGAGGGCCTTCATTGGGGGGTTTTAAGAAGAAGTTGGATGGCCATCTGTCATGGATGCTTGAAATGAGATTTCTGGAGGGGGCTGGACTAGATTCTGAATCTATAATTCTATACTTCACCCTGGTGTGAGATCTTAAATTGACTTTTTAACAAGTGAAATTTTATACACATTCCATGTGCTGATATGCTTTCAACCCCGTATGAATTATTTGGTGGGCCATGAATGAATCTTTTCCCACATTCCAAACACTAAGACGTTTTCTCTCTTGTATGGATTCTTTGATGGGAAGTGAGATGGGCGCTATTAGTGAAGCTTTTCCCACATTCGAAGCACTGATAGGGTTTCTCCCCTGTATGAATTCTTTGATGGGAAGTGAGATTGGCGCTTTGACTGAAGCTTTTCCCACATTTGAGGCACTGATAGGGTTTCTCCCCTGTATGAATTCTTTGATGGGAAGTGAGTTCACCACTCACACGAAAGCTCTTTCCACATTCCAAGCACTGATAGGGTTTCTCCCCTGTATGAATTCTTTGGTGGGAAGTGAGTTCACCACTCACACGAAAGCTCTTTCCACATTCGAAGCACTGATAGGGTTTCTCACCCGTATGAATTCTGTGATGGGAAGTGAGATGATCCATCCGACTGAAGCTCTTTCCACATTCCAAGCACTGATACAATTTCTCTCCACTGTGACTTCTTTCGTGTAAAGTGAGGCTGTTCCTCCGAACGAAGCTCTTTCCTTGATGGGAGTTCGACTGGGAGCTCTGACCGATGTTCTCTCCACACTCTGAATACTTATATGACTTCACTGCTATGTGGATTCTCTTGTGCTCTCCCTTGTTCTTCCCTTCCAATTTAGCACCATCTGCAATGAAGAGAGAAGATAATTAGAGCCTCAGGAAGAAATGGAGCTAAAGTTTATTGAACAAAGTTAATGAATGCTTGTGATAGAGGAAGAACTGAATGGAGTTAGATGTGAGGCCTTACTATAGTTTTCACTTCCTTAGTTGGCTGGTATTAACTGAGATATTGCTTGGCATTTATCTGGACTAGATTTTGTTTGGCTCAATCCTGGAATCCACTCCATCTCCAAGGTCAGTCATCTCTTTAGTCAATCAAATGCAAACAGAAGCAAAAACAACAAACCTGACAGAAGTTACTTCAACTTCCCTAAAAACTCTGAAGCTCTGGGTGAAAAATATTGCAGAGGTATAAATGCGATTTATGAGAAGCAGCAGGCTAGTCTGATAATTAATAGTGTCAAGACAGAACGCTTTCCAGTGGAGATGGGCACCAGAGAAGGATGTCCTCTCTCACCTTTATTTTTTATACTGACATTAGAAATATTGTTGTCGGAAATAAGGAAAGACAAAGAGATCATAGGCATAACATTGGGAAAAGAGGTTTGTAAGATCAGGGCCTTTGCAGATGATATTTTGTTAACAACAGAAGAACCAGAAGCAAGTATCGCTAAAGCAAGAAAGATAATATATGATTTTGGCAAGGTGTCTGGCTTTAAAATGAATATGGAAAGGACAAAACTTATGGTAAAAAATATGCAAGAACAAGAGCAAAAAGAAATTCAGGAAAAGGTTGGCTTACAGATTGTTAAGAATGCAAAATATTTGGGTATAGATCTAACTATGAAGAATATCAATCTGTACAAAAATAATTATGAGTATGTTTGGAAAGGAATAAGGAAAGATTTTGAAACCTGGAGTAAAGTTATCATTTACAAGTCATATATTAAGAGGTGCATTATATAAAGTTTGGAACAAATATAGATTACCCCTGGAACCAGAGACACCTTGGTGGATATCACCACTGGAGGCATATGCTATCAAAAAATGGAGTATGGGAACAAATTGGCCAACAAATAGACAATTATTGGAAAAGGAACAGGGGAAACTCAGATTCAAGTCCTATGAAGACATACGGCAAGACGAAGTTGACAGATGGTAGTATATACAACTTAGAAGTATTCTCAACTCGGATCAAAAGAATGGATTTGCAAAAGAGGATTCAAAATTTAACAGCACAGTGATACAGAAGAACAAGATATTGTTATCCAAAACATATAATCTCTTATTGGACTGGGAATTGATGGGGGAAGAAGTGAAAGAAACAATGAGTAAACGGTCTCAGGATCTCGGACATACTATCTGTCTAGAGCAATGGGAGAAACTCTGGTGAGAGGATATACGATTTACTGCCTCGTATACAATTAAAGAACATTTTGTAAAGATGTTCTATAGGTTGTCCTTAATGCCAGTTAAGCTGGCAAAGATAATCAAATTGAAATCCAACCTCTGTTGGAGATGTGGTGTGTAGTGATCAGATGGGATTGCTATGAGGAATTATAACAAATATAGAGTAAGCCATCTGTGTCAGCAATGAAAGCATTGTGTTGACTGGGTTTAAACTATTTTGATATGATTCTTGATCAATCCACCCCTCTGCATCCCTGTTCCATCTCTCTTGCTTCACAAGTCACGTACACTTTCAGTTGTCGCCAGGCAGGCTTCCTGGGTCATTAAAGATAGTGGGCAAGCTTCTTTGATGTAGCTTTTCTTATATATTAATCTTTGGATGTTAATCTTAGGGCCAGGAAACAGGTTTCACATTAAGGTGATAATGGTCACTGTCCTCCTGGCCATCTTTCTTATCATGTGTACTGATTGTTTATGACCTCTGGGGTTGCTGAATGCACTCCTTTGTAGTTCTCAATTCATTTACCCAAAAGTATGCATGCCTAACTAGTGTTTATAGTTTAACTTGTCCCCACGTGGGTTTGTTGAAATGCTCAGAATAAATCTGATTGGTTCTTTCGAACACTCTGTAAAAGTTCTTTTGTGAATAAAATGACCTGGGCTGAGGGGGGGAGAGACACAGACGGACACAGAGAGAGACTATTATACGCACCTGTCAGGGGTTCAGGGAGAGAGGCACAGGGTAGGCAGGAGATGGAGAGTGATGGGGAGGAATTCCAAGCCAGCGAGGAAGAGGATGACAATGACTCAAGAGATTCCATGAGTCTTTCCAGCGAATCAGAGGATTCCCAGAAGGTGGCGCCGGTGGTCAAGGCCAGGGGAGCCCCAGGGGGGAAGTGTCAGGAGCAGGGTGCCAGCGGAGGATCCCAAAGTGGCAGCTGGGCGTCAGGACCAGCCTCCCCACCAGAGTGCAGCGAAGGGGGTGGAGTTTCCAGTGTGTCAGAGGAAGCAGCTCCAGCAGCAGAGAAAGGAGGGGGTCAGAGCAAGCCGCCCTCCCGGAAGGGAGTGGAGCAGTGAAGGGAGTAGTGTAACTGTCAAAAGGAAAGTTAGAGGTTTGGCGCGCGCGCCTAGTTCAAATGTAGAGGCGCGCGGAAGTGCAGGGAGCCCGGAGGAGGGGCCAGGTCCCAAAGCCCGCAGGAGGGGGAAGAGCAGTCTGGGGATTCAGCGTCAGAGGAATCCAGGAGGGCGAAACCCCAGTGGGCAGAAGGACCCTGCGGAAAAGGAAGGAGAGAAAGAGGTGGAGCAGCGCAAGTCTCTTGAATTGGTGCAGGGGAGGAACTGACTCAGAGGGGACTTCGGCGGTCTAGCGTAAGAGACGTAAGGCTGCGCGCCTAGGATGTCAAGCAAACCATGAACTGCAATAAACACTTTTGTATATAAGAAGACATAGGCGTTGGTCTTTTGTGAGCTAAGACTTGAGGCAGCCTTGACAGTAAGTCCCCTCTCAAAACAAAAAAACCGCAAAATTTTTTTTTGCACAGCTCACGAAGTTTGGCAGCAATGACTACTGAGGAGCAGATAGCGTCCCTGCAAAACGCAGTCACCGAGCTCTCCACTGCTGTCGTGGTTTCTCAGAAGACAGTTGCTGAAGCAGAAGCGCGATGCCAGGATCTGCAAGCCAGGTGGGATCGGGCGTGCAGAGAGGGGTTCCCGGGGTCCAGATCAGAGGGCATCGGACTCGGACGGAGGGGGGGCAATTTAGTAGCCCACTTCGATGGGAACCTGAAGCATTATCCCAATTTCAGAGCAGACGTCGTATACGCACTGCATTTACTTCGAAAAGACTTCAAAGATGAGGAGGAAAAAGTGGGGTTTATTGTGTCTCATCTGCATGGGGAAGCAAGAAACTGGTTACGCAATTTGTGGCGCGAAGATGGTCTTGCACGCAGGGACTCTGATGAATTTCTCAAAGCCATGGACGCTTGCTTCCAATCTACTGTTGACGTTGATGTGGCACGCCAGGAGATGCATGGATTGCGGCAGGGCAAGGCTACAGTGCGTCAGTACCATTCTCGCTTTTTTGCATTGCTGAATGTGCTGGGCTGGGAAAAGGACTCCCTGGCAGTGAGGGACTTGTTTTGGGAAGGGCTTCATGGCTCAGTGAAAGATGAGCTGGCTAGGGAGACAGACCTCAAACCCTAGCAGAAGTCGTGCAGAGGGCACTCACGATAGGGGTGCGCCAAGAAGAACGCCCTTGGCACAGGGAGGAGGGGCGTCACCTCCGCCCACCAGCTAGAGCGCCTCCTTTTCCTTCCAGGGACTTGGAACGTTCAAGCCTTTCGCCTGTGCTGGCAGCGGGGGAACCGATGGAACTGGGTGGTGCAAAGGCTCAGACAGCTGCCGGAGCCTCAGCGTCAGGAGCAGTCAAAGCGAAGCCTCCTAGAGGGACCAGGAAGTGTTACATCTGTGACAGTGCACGGCACATGGCTAAAGAGTGTCCCCAGAGGCTCCAGAAGCACACTGCAGCCTTAGCAACAGTAACAGGGGAGCTTTCCAAGGGGAGCAGTTTCAGGGAAACGAGAATGCCTGGTTGGAGGGAGAGACGCTGGGGCTCCGCCAGGCAAGTCAGTGAAGCAGTCCCCAGCGCTTTTGCAGCCTACAGACCCCTTACCACCTAAGCCAGTGGTGCAGCTCACTGCTACTCTCCAGCTGCCTAATGGACTCACCCTGGAAGTCCCCATTACGATTGACTCAGGGAGCAACGCAGACTTTGTGGGGGTGCAGTTCGTCAAGCAGCATCGCATAGCGCTACTACCAGCCACGCTGCCTCTGAATGTGGTCACTGTAGATGGCAGGAAGTTGCTGGGTGGGCAAGTGGTACAACAGACGCCACCCATGCTGCTGAAAATTGGGAATCATCGCGAGGTCATCAGTTTCAATGTCACCCAACTGTCAGACACGCCCATAGTGTTAGGCATGAGTTGGCTGGATAGACACAGCCCATCCTTGGCGTGGTACCAGCGGCAGCTCACCTTTGGCTCGTCCTACTGCGCACAACATTGCATCCAGATCGGCCAGGACGAGGAGGGTCAGGAGGAAGGGCAACAGCTGCATCTAGGCATGGTGCAGGCAGTGCCCCACAAGTACAAGGGGTTTTTTGGAGGTCTTCTGCGAGAAGGAAGCTGACCAATTACCACCCCACCGGCCCTACGACTGTGCAATTGACCTCTTACCAGGGGCGACGCTGCCGACTGCGAAGCTGTATTCCATGTCTGAAGATGAGATGCAGGAGCTCAGGGAGTTCATAGATCACAATTTGAAGCGGGGATTCATCCGAGAATCCAAGGCAGTGGGGGGGCAGTCCTGTGTTTTTCGTGAAGAAGAAGGACACGCCCCAAAAACGGCTCATTGTGGACTATAGGGCCATAAACTCGATGACAAAGCCCAAGGCTTTCCCCATGCCCAAGATTGACGACCTGCTCGCGACGGTGAGGAAGGGGAGGATCTTCACCAAGTTGGATCTACGCGGAGCCTACAATCTGATACGCATGAGGGAAGGTGACGAGTGGAAGACGGCCATG